CCTTCTTTTTGGTGTATCTAATAGCCCTTCTAGGGAACATCACCATCCTGTTTGTGATCCAGACTGAACACAGCCTCCACCAACCCATGTTCTATTTCTTGGCCATGTTGGCCTGCACTGATCTGGGCTTGTCCACAGCCACCATACCCAAAATGCTAGGCATTTTCTGGTTTCATCTTGGAGAGATTGTGTTTGGTGCCTGCATCACACAGATGTACACCATTCATATATGCACTGGCCTGGAGTCTGTGGTGCTGACAGTCATGGCCATAGATCGCTATATTGCCATCTGCAAACCTCTGAGATATAGCATGATCCTGACCAACAAGGTAATAGCCATTCTGGGTATAGTCATCATGGTCAGGACTTTGGTGTTTGTGACTCCATTTATATTTCTCATCCTGAGATTGCCTTTCTGTGGTGTCCGGATCATCCCCCATACCTACTGTGAACATATGGGTTTGGCAAAGTTAGCTTGTGCCAATATTAGAGTTAATGTTATATATGGCTTGATTGCTTTCTCAGTGGGATACATTGACCTCTCTGTGATTGGATTTTCTTATGTCCAAATCCTTCAAGCTGTTTTCCATCTCCCATCCTGGGAGGCCCGGCTCAAGGCACTCAGCACATGTGGTTCCCATGTCTGTGTCATGCTGGCCTTCTACCTGCCAGCCCTCTTTTCCTTCATGACACACCGCTTTGGCCACAACATCCCTCATTACATCCACATACTTCTGGCCAATCTCTATGTGGTTGTCCCCCCTGCCCTTAATCCTGTTATCTATGGGGTCAGGACAAAACAGATAAGAGAGCGTGTACTTAGGATGCTTAACCAGAAAAGCTATTGACATTTAGCCCCCATTGCGAATCTTCCACAATAGTTCAATATTGACAATAATGAGATCAGAACAGAAGTAAACACTGGAAACATTTTTGTTCAATTCCTCTGGCATTCCCACACAGGCAAGTCACCTTATATTTCCTACCATTTCGTATAATTCAGTACATGTTGGAAAGCATAAAATTCCAAAAATTCCAAAACAATCACTCTACTCTGACTTATGAAAAGTACTGAAAATACTCACATTTAACCCCACTAATACTTCAACATTCCTAAAGACAGAAAAAGGTTTTGCAAGAAATTGTTTCCCCAATGTAATTACCTTGAATAACCCTTTAACATGTATATTCTCTTTATTACATCATTTCAGAAACCAAAGTTCATAACTGAAAACAGAGTGCAGGATTTACTAAAAACCAGGTAGTACACCATGGCAAAGAAATTAATTTGGAGTAATATGATCTAGATTAAATTCAGGAAGTTTGACCTAAGAAGTAATATGATCTAGATTAAATTACCAGGAAGTTTGACCTAAGAAGTTTATTTTTGCTTAGAGCTATTCGAGCTTTAACGCCCTTCTCATGAAATGCTGTAAATCAATAAAAATTTGACAACTGTGAATTGAAAAAATACTATTGTGAAAGTATTTCCAGCTTATAAAACATTAAAAGATTTGGAAATAAAGTGAGTCCTTACTAAATATAGTATGTTGCTACTTTCACTGTAGGTAGATTTAGATTACTAAATCCAATTGTAGTGTGAAGAATTGAAATGGATTGAAATGAGTTCTCCCACACCACATTACCCCAATGCATGGGCTCTGTGTGGACATCTTAACACTTACCTTTGTCAGATAGAATTTCAGTCAGGATACAATAAAATGACTCTATCTACTTTGGATTAAAGACTCAGAGAAATCCCATTCCTCACAGTCCTAGTTAGATGACCTTTAGGATAGACTGTAATAGTGTGTCTACTGAAACAGTATAAAGTCATCCCCGTGAGGCTATGGAAGCAAAATAAGACAATTGATTTTGGCTCGGCAACCATAGCACAGCTGGTTACAGCACCAGCCACATACACCAAAGGTGACAAGTTCGAACACAGCCTGGGCCAACTAAACAACTACAAGAAAAAAAATGGCCAAGCATTGTGGCAGGTTCCTATAGTCCCAGCTACTTGGGAGGCTGAGGCAAAAGAATTGCTTAAGCCCAAGAGTTTGAGGTTGCTGTGAGCTGTGACACTACAGCACTCTACTGGGGGCAACATAGTGAAACTATCTCAAAAAAGAAAAAAGACAATTGATTTCATTGGATATTCTAGAAGCTGCAAACATCTGAAATTGGCCCCTAATTGGAAATGGAACCTTGGTTGGACTCAAGGTAGGATGAG